ATTATAAGAAATATTCAATGAATCTTTATTTTTGGACCGTTATGACTGCTATTTCAAATATTGGTCCCGACCGCAATTTCAAATATCGGTTTCGACCGCAATTTTGTATTTTCACCGCTATGACAGCATAGAGCATGATCATTTAATTGTCATCCCACATGCTACTTAACTAGCTGATATTTGATCACCATTTTCCAACATAATAAAGGAAATCTTACTATAGTATTTCGTCGGAGAATAAACTCTTAGTGAAGTATTCCATCAAAGTATAAATTCTTAAGTCTTAAGATTTTAAGGTTATGCGAGTTTGTAATCTCTTTCTCTTACACCACCTCTTTTATTTTAATAATATCAACACTTCTTACTAGTCCATCTGACTACCAATATGAAATAGCCAGGCCGGTATCACGGGAGCTAGGATCTGTTTGGTGCAATTATAATCTGCGACTTCTTTTTTTCGAAGTCAACAACTCACTTGGTTTCTTTCTAGACACTATCCCATATGATTATATCGACCGGGTTAAGAAATTAGTGAAATAATTTGATGGAGTTCAAATATATGTTAGTTATTTTAAATATAATGCTTTAATACTAAATGTTATCCTCCTCGATTTAAGTCTAAGTTACCTAATCTAAGGGAATCTTAGTTCACTTAAACTAATGCTTTGATACCATTTGTAACATCCCATTCCCGGGGTGTCGTTCTTTGCCCTTAGTACAACTGAATGAAAGAAACTTCATATCTTAAACTTTTATTTCATTATAATAGAGTTATTAAAACAACGGAATGTGGAAATTTACAATTTATAATATTCTAACATCTTAGAATAGCAGTACTTCAGCTTGTTTCTACTTATTGATTCTTCAGATACATACATGAATACGTAAGCTAAAAGCTTAGTGGGTAGTTATGGTTTCATGATAAAACAATCTTTCCAAATAGTTAAAATAATTCTTATAAACTTTCATGTATAAAAACATTTCTTTGATATTTCATGGTTACATGTTAAGTAAATCAACTTCTCACAGGTTCTTTTACCTCGGGACATAAGGGCAGCCCAATAAGGTTCGTTTGCACGACGTACCTTCTTTCTATATCCCGTACGTTGGATATTTAAATGGCTATACTTAACATATATAAAAACTTTCATATAACACATGTGCATCATGACATAAAAGGTGTACTTTGCCACATAATCATAACTTAACTTTTACGTAAAGATATGGCAATACTCTTTCATGCATAAAACATATATATATATATATATATATATATATATATATATATATATAAGGTTGGGTTCATGTGAGACCAAGTTGTTTTCGTGAGATCCGTGAGACCACTTTTTTACACTTGAAACTTCACAGCAAAAACACTGTGAAGGTTACCTTCACAGCATTTTGCTGTGAAGTTTCAAGTGTAAAAAGCTGGTCTCACGGGTCTCACGAAAACAGGCTGGTCTCATGTGATCCCAAGTATATATATATATATATAGGGWCAAGATCAAATGTTAACCAAAGTTTTTGTGTTAACTTTGTTAATCGATCTTGGCCATTCAATCTTTCAATAAACGGTTGTGATTAATTATTATAAATACTTAATTTTTTTAAAATTTAAAATTTCATAAACATAAGTGAACAAAGTTGAAAAGGGTATTTAGGTAAAAAAAATATATGTAACTCCCATATCATTAATTGGGAGTTACAAAATCAAAAAAAATTATGTTTTTGTTAATTTATTTTTGTTAACATAAGAAACATATGAACACAACTATATATATATATATATATATATATATATAAACCATTGTATTAAATACGAAAAAAAAATGACAAATATATGAACTTGGACTGCATAGCATTTATGAACACAATATGAATATAATAAAAATAACTGCTATACGAAAGAAAATAAATAAAAAAACAGGTATGAACATAATATGAACAACTTTTGAACAATAGTTCATTAATTATAAACGCATTCAGGAGCGATCCTTTGTCAATTGGAGTTTTATACATGCATTGCATCSACACCGTTTAAGGTCCACCCCTTGTTCATATATGTTTCTGGTCTTATGTGGTTGTTCAACCCTTGTTCATATCGTGTTCACCCCTTGTTCATATCGTATATATCATATGAACACATAACCCCGACGCTATGAACATTGGGTGCAAACACTTACACAAATATAAAGATTTGGTATCAAGCTTTAAAAATAACACTTGTGTTCATATGATATAAGTAACATGAACACAATGGTTCATGATTCATAAAAGTCGGTAATATGACAATATGAAAATGAGTCGTGCATGTACTTCCATTTGAACATGTGAATTAGGTAGATATTAATAGTTAAAAAAAGTTATCAATGCAATATGAACTACAAAAAACATAACACATCATAATAAACATAATTTCGATTAAAACGAGTCTAATAAAATATTAATTCATTACCAAGACATTCATTTTGGTTAATTTCTTCACTTCCCTAACTCGAAATCCGATTGTCACCATAAACCATTTTAATCTTCTCAATGTTTTTGATTTTTTTTCTAATTCGTTTATCCATAATAGCTTGAACGATACTGAAGATTTTACTACCGTGTTTCCTCCACGAATTAAAAACTCATTAAACAATAAAAATGGAAGATCAAGATTAAAAAATAAATAAAAATATCAATATTATAAATGTATATTTTTAGGGATTTTTTGATTTTGTAACTCCCCTTTAATGGTATGGGAGTTACATAGGAAATGAAATTACTCAATTATCCTTGGCATTAAATTGTGAACATGATAGAAACCTAATAGAAGAATGGATTGTGATTGGTTGACATGGTTTGCAAAGTTAATACAAAAACTTTGGTTAACATTTGATCTTGTCCCTATATATATATATATATATATATATATATATATATATACTAGAAGGGTACTCGTGCAATGCATCGAGACACATTTCCATTTCAATGTTTCGTTTTATTTTTTATCCATGTCGATATAATATGATTTTATCATTTTATGTGGTTTTGAAAAGGCGATAATGTTTATATTTTTAATAAATTTGAAAATATCATATAAAATTTGCAAAAAAATATATCAATATTAGTATCGAAATTAACTATTTAAAAGTACTTGTTTGTGTATTGTTTTAGTTCAATATTTTTATTATAATTTAACGTAACGAAATAACTTAATTTAGGTTTAATAATATTTTTTTATAAAGATAATAATTAAGTATTATCTTAGATTTCAATAATTATTCTAATTATATTTTAGATATTTTATATTTTAAATGCGATGTTTATCCTCAATTTGATTATGTTTATCCACAGTTAGTTATACGAATTCAAACATAGAGCTTTAATAAGTTGTACTTATGCACAATTTACTTGTAATGTTGAATTTTAAGTAATATGCATCAATAAACAATATTTTATGCATAAAAAATGGTTTTTAAGAGTTTTTGTCAAATGCTTTATAATATAGTATAGATATATATAGCATGCATGTATCCCAGTAAATCTCATAATGTACTCACCTTGATTATGCCTAGCTTTTCCCTTAATTTCTATCTTCAAGCTTGATTAGGTATAAAGAGAGAGATTTCTTATTTTTGGTATGGAACTAATGATAACACTTCAATCACTATTTAGTATTTATAGCTAAATTCATTGCATTAGCAACTTGTTCTTCTTGCTCCCAAAATTGTACTCTTATGATAGTTTTAACACCTTATTTTTTAGGATAAGAGAATCTTGACACATCATAGTTTAACACCTTATTTTTGAGGATAAGAGAATCTTGACATCTCATGCTTAATATAAAAAGAATCTTGACACCTCATGCTTCTAGCTCTTGCTTGTCATCATGAATTTTTGCCAACACATGCTTCTAGCCTTGATAACTCATAACTAGCTTGCTTTGTCATAAAGAGTAGGTTTGCTTTGTCATAAAATTTTTGTGGCTCATGTTGTTTGTTTATAAGTAGCTTTGTAAGCTACTTGCCTTATAAATATGATTGTTTAATAAATGCTACAGCTGTTGGACTCTTTTAAGAGTACTTAATTTACTTGCAAAATCTTGTATTTAAGACTTAAACATTGAGATTTAGCAAATAAAAAAACTAGGGTGTTACAGAACTTAAAGCCTCTTTCTCTATAAATAGCCAGATCTTAAAACTTCTCCCTCACGGCTCACACTTTAAACCCTTCTCCCTTTTGCCTCTATAAAGTCGTGCTGGTTGCTGCATTGGAGGCTTACCTGCTGCTAAACCCTATTTGACTTGTGTTTGTGTGTATGTATATATATATATATATGTATATATTATGATGAAATACGCCATACATTCTTGCGACCTGCTCCTCGTGCCTGTGCTTTGCTCCTCGAGCACCTATTGAGCCTTTAACAACTTTGCAACCACCAAATATATACCACACCGATCAATATTTCTTCATGTAGGAAAAACCTGCGAATTAGCTTTCGTTCTCTCTTTTCATAATTACACTCTTTATACCGCATATGGAAAATTGGCAAGTGACGGTTAAGTTTAGAGTTACTGTTTCCGTGGAGACCCCAACTTGTATGAAGCATAACTACATAACCTAAAAGAGCATTTTTAAGACACTTCCTTTGTAGGGTCTGTTTACACTTTACATGTTTATTTGCCTGATCAGTACTCTTTTTATTTCAACATAAGTGTCGATGTTTCTATTTTAGTTTGTCTCACTTACAAAAGTGGGTGCTTATTTTCTAATTCTACCATTAATTCTCAGATGTAGAAATTCATTATAGGGATATAATTGTCATGTAGTTGATTAAAAAAAAATTATAACAGTCGCACATTTCTAAAACTGTCTTTTTCATTGTGGACATTTATTTTATCATGCCTTCTTGTATAGAATGATAGAAAGAAATGAAAAACAAGTTTATTTTCAATCAGCGAAAGTATTATTGCATAATTTGATGCCGAAATGTAATGTTGTCGCAACTCTTTCAGGGTTTTGGATAAAAAGCTTCAATGGTCTGCCTACGAATTCTTGAATGCGAGGGGAGTAAACAACGACCTTTCGGTTTTTTTACATCATTATGTGTGGAACAAGGATAAACTCGAACATATTCAACGATTGAAGCTTCTCAAATCTTACCTCGAGAGATAGGTATAGTTTTTTCTATTGTTTAAGATCGTCAATCGGTATTAATTAGACTTTCCATATTTGGAAACAATGTGTTGTCATCCTGCCCTTACTGTACAAGACACCCCGAAATATGTTGTAGTGAAAATGCATATTTTGGTCTGAAATTCTTGATCCATTGGTACAAGTGGAATAGTTGGCCATTTTTTATTGGCTTTAACCAATGAATAGTAAACCATGAAGATGAAAACAGTACATGGATGGATGAAACACTTACTTTACTCAAACTTCAAACACTTTTATCCTGGGTATTCAAATATTTACTCTAATTTTGTCACTGGCATAAAATTATGAAACAAGGGTCCGGTTCTTTCTTTCTAGTTTTAATCGTACCAAATATTAGATAAACAACTTGTCGATGTAAAAGATGCTAATGATTTATTTTTTTAACATAAAACATTCCAAATTTGGTAGATGTTTGTGGATATGAAACTATAGCCCTTTCACGTTTTTTTAACTTTATATTTAAATTATAATATATTTATTTATTTTCAAGGCAAATTGCAGCAGGAATAGAAGGTAATTTGTTTGTTTTAATTCTTATACTTGAACACAAGGGAATTGAATTCTGTGGGTTTACCCAAGGAATGAATCTTGTTTGGTTGCAGGATTTGAAATTGAATTCACTCATAATTTTGCATTTGGATTAAAGGAAAATATGGCACATGAGATTTATAAATTCTACAGGGACAGTTGGTATTGTATATGATTTCATAAGATTTGCTTGTTAAAAATATCAATTAATAAAACATACTTTAATTATTTTTATTTGTTTTTATAAATTATCAGTTTCATTTAAATTCCTACAAAATAAACATACCAAAGACCAATTCTAAATCATTTCACAAATTCCAACATCTTCCATTAAACCATGATGGTCCTCAAAAGATTTTGTGAATCAACATTATTGAATCCCAACCATGTTGCCAGCCAAACATGCTAAAAAATCCGATCAATGAAATTGACTAGGTCAGGTCTATAGATGGACCTAGATCTACAGGCTGGTTGCGTAAAAACAGCATATTATTTTGAAGGTTGGAAACCTATTGGTGGTTCAGATGAATGGGGAATTAAGTTGTTTTTAATTTGTAAATTAAGGTCTTTAGGGTGCGTTTGGTACACTGGACAGGGATAGGACAGAACAGGACAGGAATTCCTGTCCTATGTTTGGCAGAAATTTTATGTGGAACAGACATGAACATAGTGGAACAAAGTGGAACAAGCCTGTTCCACCCTTACCCCATGGAACAGGGTGGAACAAGGTGGAACAGACTTATATTTTACTAATATAACCTCAAAATAAAACTTAATTCTCTTCTAAAAACATCAAATAGGTCTCTCTTTTACATTTTATTCATTTTTTAAATTTTATTTATTGTATTTTATGTTTTTTAAACTTTCATTTTACTGACTTTAAAATATTATTTATGTAATTTATTATATATTAATAATAAAATAATGTAGAAAAGAGATAAAAATAAAAATAGAAAACCACATAAGCTTTTTATTTGGTGTCATTTTAATTGTTTTTTCGAAAACTACAAATGATATATTTTATTATAAAAAATAATTATTCTATTATAATTTAATATATTACATAAATTGTTTTCTTGATTTTATCACCGTCAAACGTATTGTGTAAGGTTCACGCATGCAATTTGTTGTTTTCGATGAGTTTTGTATGTTTTCCTTTGATCAAAGTAGTAAATATTCGATTTTGATCTTACAGGAGTGATTGTACAGGTGATAGGTGAATTCTTTTGTTTTCTGGAATCTAAGTTTTGTGAATGTAATGATACTATATGGGATCACGAGCCAAATTGTTTTCTTGATACTTATATTTTATTTACTATTTGATACTTAATCCATTTTAATTGATTGTGCGCTTGTTGGTAGTAGTTTTTTCTTCTTAGTATGGAATGCATATAAATTTGCATCGATAATGGATTCTTGATGCTTATATTATATTTACCTTTTTCATATATCATTAGTTGATTATGAAATCATGTATTTTTGCAAATGTATTTTTGCAAGTAGTAGTGATTTGATGTAAATTATACTTTGCACATCGTATTTGTTAACATTTATATTGATTATTTAGTGAAAAAAATACTAAACAGCTCATTGGGGGTAAATTGGTCATTTTAACCAGTTATGTCCAGTCTTGTCTTACCAAACGCTGAACAGCTGTCCTGTTCTGTCCTGTCTGCGTACCAAACGCACCCTTAGGGTGTGTTTGGTGTCTAGATAAGATTGGACAAAACAAGACATGACTAGATAAAACAACTGTTCAACGTTTGATAAGATAAAACTAGACAGAACAGAACAAGTAAAATGATCAATTTACCCTTGATGAGCTGTTTATTTTAATTAATTTATGTAATTAATTAAATTATAATAAAATAATTATTTTTTATAACAAAATATATCATTTGAAGTTTTCGTCAAAACCATTAAAATGACATCAAATAAAAAGGTTATGTAGCTTTCTATTTTTATTTTTATCTCTTTTCTACATTATTTTTTATTATTAATATATAATAAATTACATAAATTAATAAAAATATAGAAACCGTATAAAAATAATATTTTGAAGACAGTAAAATAAAAATTTTAGAAACATAAAGTACAATAAATAAAATTTAAAGAATGAATAAAATGTAAAAAAAGACCTATTTGATGTTTTAGAAGAAAATTAAGTTTTATTTTGATGTTATATTGGTAAATTATAAGTCTGTTCCACCTTGTTCCATGGGGTAGGGGTGAAACAGACCTGTTCCACTTTGTTCCACATAAAATTCATACCAAACATGAGACAAAGATCTCTGTCCTGTTCTGTCCAATATATTAGAACCAATTACGCTTACCTTGCTTAGTCATTGAATTCCATTAGAATTCACGTACCAAACATCCCTCTAGCTCTATCCGTGTAGCATGTTTTCCTCTATTCTATTTTTTATCATAAGAAAATAAGACTAATAATTGAAAATGACCAAAAATAAAACAAGATTTCAAGGTGTTGTAAATAAACCAAAAGCCAACCATACATGATAAAAAGTTTGGTCACAAACTGATATAGGTTCTAAACCAAAGAACAAAGGAGAGCGTGACACGTGTATCCAAGTGTCCACATTCATCATAAATAAAGAGAGTAAACATTTGTGAAGTATTCATGATAAATAATACACCATTAATGATCCATGATAAATAGATACACCATTCATGATGAATGATACATTATTTATGATGAACAACCAGTGAACGTATGGGACACGCGTCACGCTCTCCTTTGACCCTTGGTTCACAACCTAAAATCAGTTTGCAAATGAATCGGCCCCTATGTCCACCCGGTTACAAAAAAGGCATCGTCTGAAACAAATTAGTGATATGATTGCATAAAAATATAATTGATTTTGTTGTGTATTTACATGCGACATGCCTCAACATTGGCATAGTCGAAAGATACAAAAAAATGTAGGGCAAATTCCACTTATACTTCACTATTTTGCTAACCAATAAATCAAAATAAAAAAAGTACAAACCGAGGCAACCATCGAAAGAACGACCGTGTCCATGGATTTCTTCTTCCTTATCACCGAGAGAATGTTGTTCACCTGTAACCACCAAAAGCATTGTTAGGTTGTAGATCACGGTTATTGTATTTGATGCTTAGAAACCCAACCCAGCCCATTAAACATCGAATAAAAATTTGTTGTCCCAGAATCCCACAACTCATTCCTGTCCACCAATCAAATAGATATGCATCTTCACAGAATAAAAATCTTATCTGTATTCACGTGATTGGTGGGACTGAAAGGAGACAAATATTTCTGGGACAACGGAACAAACTATAAAACATAAAACCGCCCCCAGGTCAATCCTAAAAGTTAACATTTCTGATGCCAAGTGATTTGTCTCGTTTATTGATGATTGTACGAGAGTAACGTGAATTTATGTTTGAAAATAAATCAAAACGTTAGCTCCAGTTTCTACCAAACTCGGTTTGGGGTTCAACTTAACTTAAGCATGATAATGCCAAAGACTAAAAAAACAGGAACCATTCATGGACATCTTCCAGATGCAGCAAGAGCATTATGTTTCACACAAGTGTCCCTAAATAACATTAACTAGGGTTCGAATCCAATTGATGTTCTCACAAACTTCTTTTTAGAAAATCTTTGGATGTTGCCACTCTCCTATATAAGGGAAAACTTGATCCACATGCTCTTCAACAGAAACAGTAATAAATGTTATAATGAACAAGTTAATTTCAGGTTTCATGATTCTTTATCTTCTCTTCTCCTGAGACTGTTAACCACAATTACCATCTCTCCTCCAACCTACTTTCCAACATATTCAAGTATTACATCACCACTAAATCCAAAAGCTTAGAGAAGGAACCAAAAACTATCTCAAAGACAAAGAGGCTTCTCCATACAGTAATATCTATTTCAAGAAAACTATGTTAGGAATTTGGATGATGTTATCAAACTAGAAACGAAGGCCCTAGAAAACAATAAAAGATGTGGATTATGTCAAAGGGGAACAAAATGGTAGGTAGAGTAGAGATAGTCACATGGCTCTAGTAAAAAGATACAAAGCAAAGTTGTATTCTTTCCTCATGTTGCAAAGATGAATAGCACTGGCAGCTAACCTCGGGTTCAACTCGCAACAGTTTGATGTAAAGAATGCATTCATTCAGAAGATATTTATATAGTCTCACCTAGTTTCTTAATCTTAAACTGGATGGATGGTGTGCAAGTTAAAGAAAGCACTCTACGGACTTAAGCCGTCACCAAGAGCCCAGTTTGGGAGATTTACTAAACTGATGATTGCTCTCAAGTATAAAGCAAAGTTAAGAAGATCAGGCTGTGTTCATGAAACAGTAGGATTCTGGTAAAGCCACATCATGGCTTGTTTATGTAGAAAATTTCTCAAGTAATGATGTAGATGAGATGAACAATTTGAAGTGATGTCTCTTGAAAGATTTTAAGTCAATGAACTAGAAAAATTAATATACTTCCTACAGGTAACTTTCATCTCCTAATGGAAATACGTTGCAAGAAACAAGGATGATGAACTGTAAACCCGTTGGTACTCTTATTCAGTTCATTCATGGATTGTGTGATGCTCCAGATGATTCGGGGTGGATAGAGAGGGTCCTATCGGAGATGTGCTTGATGATTGATTTTTTGAAACACATGCAAGACACACATAGGTGTTGCGGTACGCGTGGTAAGTCAATTCACGCACAACCCAAAGGAAATACATTCTAAGGCTTTGAAAAGAATATTGCAATATCTAAAGAGTAGGCCTTGGAGAGAGATCTTATTTAAAAGGGGGAAAAGTTTGACTTTAGAAGCATATAAAGATGCCGATTGTGGTGGAGTAGGAGGAGATCAACATCTCGTTACTTTTCATAGATCTTGTGACATGGAGGAGTAATAAGCGGAGTGAGGTGTTAAGATCAAGTGCATAATTGAAGTTTAGGGAGTATGTTAATTATTATGGTTGAAGATAATTCTACAAGCTTCTAAGATACACTAGGAAGGTATATTGTGACAACAAGTCAACCATCAATTTGCTCACAACCTTGTACAACATGATCGAACAAAACACATTGAAATTGATAGACATTTTATCTTTTTTTGGGGGGGGGGGGGGAATGTCATACCAATCTTATTTCAACCCTATTCATCTCCACAAAGGATCAATTGGCAAATATATTCACAAAGGGTATGCAAAGCATGATGTTTCAGGACATAATTTGCAACCTTGGAACGGAAGACATGCATTCACTTGCTTGAGTCTGTTGAATTATACAAAAAGGAATTCTTGGTAATGTAGTCATTTGTTGCAATCCCTTATTTTTGGGAATTTATTAGATAGTTTCTTTTTCTTAGGCTTTTGTTGATGTCGATCTTTTCAGATGTGTATATACCCTTCCATTGCTGATTTCAATCTCTCCAACATGTATATATACCCCCATTGTATGTCAAAAAGATATACATAAATCTTCTAATTTTTGGGAGTTATAATAGTCATAGATTATTAATGGTGAAAATTATTACTAAAACATACGATAAATGACTTGTCCATTTACCTAGATTCTAAAGGACCTAAAAACATAAAAGCAATTCGGATTCACCAAAAAGGAAAACCAAATTATAATAAATAAAGGAAGGCGATCGTGATATAGAAAGGCCTTCTCTTATTACCAGGAAAGACAAAAGGCAATGCCCAATGAGTCACATGATGGTCAGACCAAACAATTTCCAACAAATCTTTCCTAATTTTAAAACAATCCCAAGTAGCTAGATTAAATATTTGTGCAACTTTAATCAGATCAACAGATATAATGAACTGTGCAACTTTAATCAGATCAACAGATATAATGAACATAAATGAGTAAGTTTAAATACTCACTTACTGTTGGGAGGCGATTGTTTATGTTGCTAATCTTAGAATTGATGCCTCCAAATGTTGAGCGTTGAAACACAAGTGTGCCTAGGGTCTCTTGTGCTTCGGCTCTAACACCATCGATCTGCATCAACATGGATTAGTGAGCATAGTTGTAGACAAAGATACCAAACATTATCTGTATGCCAAAAGAGGATGAGATGTGTTCATGCATTTGAACAACTTATCCTTCCTTACAAACTCTTGGAGGTAGGCTAAAAATGAAATCCAAATGAAGTGTTATATAGGAGATATCCATTCTTATGGTCCTCCCTAGTCATATTATGTCATGATTCCAGTACATGTTTAAACATAGAAAGAAACGAACTCTGATTTCCTATAACAACACAATTTTATTCATATTACCCCTACACTTCGTTCATGCCAAAGTTAAACTGACCAAAATTTAAGAATCAAAATAAACGTAATACACCCACGAAGATATATGCAACTGCTATACATTATTGGGACATTGGAAAAAAGGGTTGACGCCACCCTCTTACACACCCCCACCGCACCAGTCCCACGGTCATCATGGGAGAGGTAAATCAGCACATGCATCCCATTGGCAGAGGAGCAGTGCCCAGGCTCGAACCAGGGACCTCACTCATATGGATTACACCGATACCTTTATTGTTGGGACAGACCAGCAGGGACATTACCTAAGGCATATATGAATCAAAACTATGATAAATTTGACAATTGTAGACTGATGCATGACCACTAGCAGCAATATTGATATCATTGTTGGTGCAACCATGATCCATCACAAGTCCAATATATTACAAACAATCATCCTCTCTCGACATTCGTATTTGCTTCAAGTTTTTGCGTATAATCTAACTTCAATTTGAATATCTCTTTAGTTGGATAGATGAATATATATATTCCAAAATCAAGTTTCACTGTTTTAACACCTTACGATTTGCACTCCGCTATATTCTTCTGTTGAAGCACAACTGTGACTAAACATCATCATAGAACCTCCTGTAACGTGATATGATTATTATCTCTGCATCTTCTTTTTTGGGTTTGTGGGGCAGGGGGAGGATTAAAGAAGAGAGAATCAAAATACAGTATAATATGAACATGTATCCATTCAACTTGGCAAAAATCTATTCTCACAAGAATTGGTTCGGGTATTTATACCTTCCCTGTACTTCTCATGAGAGTACCACGCTCCTCAAGGAGAGACTGCTCTTGAGACCCACCATCGTCTTCTAGTTGTGATCTTGATCTCTCAAACTCCTGGAAGTCTTCAAGTAGTGACGCATGGTCTCTCTTCGCTCTAAGGCTAGATCGTAGCCGATTGAACTCCTACAATCAAACAAATAGAAGAGCAAACACCGTCACGCTAAAGCTGTAGATGCTCACTAATATATAGTGGTGTATGATTTCCCATATCAAGTCTGTGTGGTTTCTCCATTTAACTAAGCACTTGAGAATCTTATGTTCAGACCAGTTGCAAGTGGCATACTAGATAAAGGAACAATTGAAATAAGTACTAAACCACTTATGAATGATATGAGCAATTAAGTAGGCAACACCAGATTGTTATTTTTGGTGGTACTAAAAACTAATGTTGTACATGACTTGCTACGAGACTTGTGAAGTAGCTAGAACAGGGGATGAACTTTTGGTACTAACAGTAATGGAGGAGATGAACGTTGTGTGTAGCCAATGGAACTTCTCTATGTATTTGATCAAATAGATTGAATTATGTTGTGTACAAGAGAAGGAAAAATAAGAACAAGATAAACATATATATACACCTACAACTTTTAAGTAATGATAAAAACAGCCCATGAATTCTGTATATTTACAATACAACTAACATGTACATTGCCAACGACTTGCATGTCACCTTCTGAAGTCACCTTCTGAAGTCACCTAGTGTTAGGAAAGTTGGTTATGAAACATGTGAAGTCGCTCATGAAGTTACACAACTAGAAAAAACATACGGTACATTGCAAGCGACTTTGTATGTAACTTGGGAAGTCACATAGAATACAGTTTTCTTAAACGAGTGTTAGACATAGCAAATTAGGATTTCTCTTTCTTAGTGTGATAGTATAATTTCCTTAAAAAGGGTTTAATTTTTGTATATATATTAGTGTAAAATTTCCTCTGAATAAATGAGAAATATATCACCTTTTGAGTAGTTACATGGTATCAGAGCCAGATTTGAAAACCTCGCTAGACGCCGGAACCCTACCGAACTCCAGCTGCCTTCACCGGAAACCTACCGAAACTCCAGCTGAGTTTCTCTCCAGGGGCTAAGATGCTGTCTGTTCGAAATTGTATAACTTTGGTAGCCATTAATCATTGGCCACTTCATCAATTGGATGTTAAGAATGCGTTTCTTAATAGTATTCTTGAGGAGGAGGTGTACATGGAACAACCACTTGGGTTTGTTATGAGGAGGCCACAAAGGTATACCAACTGCAACATTTATTATATGGTCTCAAACGGTCCCCTAGAGCATGTGTTCTTTAGACACTATGACACTCGACAAATCATTCTAGTGGCCTATGTAGATGACATTATTATCACTCGAAACACCGGAACTTCAGAGGTGAAACAATTTCGACATACTCCGTTTCAAGTTACTATTTTCTACATACTCTGTTTCAAGTTACTATTGGACGACTCTATTACTTACTTGGGATGGAAGTATCTCGATCTCCATAGAGGATTTTTCTAGCTCAACAAAAATATGTTCTTGATATGTTTACTAAGTGTGGTTTCCTGGGATGTAAACCAGTGGACAGTTTGATGCCTACAAATAGAAAACTTCTTCCAAATGATGGAAATCCTATTTAGAATCCAAAGGGATACAAAAGACTGGTTGGAAAGTTAAACTATTTGATAGTTACTCGACCAGATAAATCGTTTTCGGTTAGAGTTTTAAGCCAGCTCATATCCGCTCCTTATACAGTTCATGGGATGCAACACTTCATGTTTTGAGGTATATCAAGGCCAAACCAGGCTTAGGGATACTCTATTTAGATCAGGGTTACTATCGAGTGGGTGCATTCACTGAAGAAGGAGATGGCAAGATATCTGGTTTCTGGATATAGATTGGGCTGGTTGTCTTGTTTCTAGGAGATCGATGACTGGTATATGTGTATTCATCAAAGGAAACTTAGTTTCTTGGAAAATTAAGAAACAACGTACTATCTCCCGTTCAAGTGTTAAGTCAGAGCATAGAGCCATGGCAGATGTGTCATGCGAACTGACATGGGTAAGGAAGCTTCTAACTGAGCTTGGTGTGATTACAAACGACTTGATGAGACTGTATTGTGATAACCAGTTCTATTCATATAGTCAAGTATCAAGTATTCCATGAGAAGACCAAACATATTAAGGTTGATTATCATCTTATCAGAGACGGTGTTGTGGAAACTCAGACATACCCTCCATCGATTTAACCGATATACATCATGATAAAGTACCAGCTTGCAGACATTCTGACAAAGCCATTATCGAAAGCAAGTTGGGCATGATTAACGTCTTCGCTCTAACTTGAAGAGTGTTAGATGTAGCAAATTAGGGTTTATCCTTTTTAGGAGCCATTTACCAAACGCTTACCCGGATAAGCGCTTACTAAGTCACATCAATCTATATTGATTGATTGCCTCCATTATGTACATTACCTTACCGGATGAATATGGCAAGGTCCAAGAATCTTACCCGGTAAGAGCGAAAGCAAGAACCGAGAGTCTTACCTGTAAGTGATGGCGCGAATCTTACCACGGTTAGCACTTACCGGCTAAATTGTTGCATACGCTACCATTTTGGTCGACTAAAAACTTACCCGGTAAGTAAGTTATAATGTTGAATTTTACCGATAAATGCTTACCCGGGTAAGCGTGTGGTAATTGGCCCCTTAGTGTGATAGTATAATTTCCTTAAAGAGGGTTCCTTTGTTGTATATATCAATATAAAGTTTCCTCTAAAAAAATGAGGGTATGTTGGAGTCCTACATTGGCTAGACTTGGACCATTCCTTAAAGGGCTCTTTAGGAGAATGATCCAGGGCTTCCACATTTCTCACATGGTATCAGAGCTATGGTTTGCAATCTGCCACTTTAGGGACTCGACACTCTGGCTAACCCCCTCTCAACACCCTGGGACACTTCGTGTCCATCTAGCCTCCATTGAAGGGGATGTGTTGGAGTCCCACACCGGCTAGACTTGGACCATTCTCCCATATACATGCTGGAACCTCCCCTTTCTCCTAAAGGGCTCTTACAAAGAGTGATCTAGGGCTTCCACATTCTCACAATAGGAAAGACCATACGAGCATGAATGCGATTTTGCAGCTTGCCCACGAATTCGCATACGGGAATGACCTATCAGAAAAGATAGAATTAGGGCTCATTCATTGGTGGTACAACTCCCTTTCCGTATTTGGAAACCAATAGAGTTCTTCAAGCTTTTAGCTTTTGTATTCTCTTGTAAGTTCATTTAATTATGACGTACACTATCACAACGTACATTAAATATTGTTTTCTTTATTTGCTTTCAATCACGATTGGGGTTGCCATTGTGTTGTGTTGATCTTATTGTTGTTCACCAAGTATTAAGCACATTATTTGGATATTATTTGTTCTATACTAGTTGGTTAGGTTTTGTATCTCATTGTTCGATATTTGACTTGAGGTAGACGTTTTGTTCCTAACATATTTATACCTGAGTAAGATCATAATGAATTTCTCGATGTCGTGTCAATGTATGAGAAAATATTTGTGGTCCTCCAGATGAAAGCCAAGCTTGCATTAGCGAAATTACTTGATCCAGCTCTTTGAGTAGTTGTTCTATTCCTGACCCCAGATCGTTCTCCTTATCATTATCAACTTTTGTATAAACTAATTTGCGGAACAAATGCATTTGCTCATCCAACTGTGCTTCAAGCTTCCTTGCCTAGGCAGATATCAACAAGTAGAGTAATAAGAAATTAGATCTTTGAGATACTTATATTTGAAATATATACAGAAAGTTGAACTATTAAATGTTTCGAGCTAGGGAGACAAGAATAAGCCAAGTTCAAAACAAATTGGAGATGCTTTATACTCTTATCTTTCTTCTCTAATCAACTATAACCATTGCCACACATAAACATGTCACGAAGTCTTGTCGTAATACTTGCTTTTGACATAAATATATACTACCACTTCATCTCATCAAAAATTCAAGTGTGCGTTTGGTACGGGACATATGAATAAAACAAAATTTTGTTGTCTCACTTTTGGCGCAACATTAGACCGGACGGGATTGAGGGGGACAAAAAGAAATCCATAAAAGTAGGTGGAACATAAATTAGGAAGATGAGACAAGTTTCGTAAATTGTTAAAGTCCCCATGCCATGTTAAAACCCTGTAATTTTCCACAATTCTTTCATCCCTATATCTGAATCTCGTCGGTACGCTGCAGTCCATGTACCAAACACACCCAAGTCCCTGGGAACAAGGAACCCAACATCCATTTTTGGGACTTGCACGGAGCTTTTCCATGAAGAGAAGCACCACTTCACTTATATAAATTCAAAAACCAAGACCGACATCCTGAATACCTAATAGCACACAAGCCAAAAGGTCTAAAGTTTTTAGTCGCCCCTACCAATTCCATAAGAAGTGGAGAATCATCCTATAAAAAGGTTGATTACCAAGCAATATCAATCCAAGAAGGGTTGAATGCCCGTACATTCAAAGATTCCAATGGGCCTATATATGTAGATTACAATACTGAAATAGGAAAGAATGCTATATCAATCACAAAAATCCTCATGGTGTATCTATCAACCCAAAGATCCATTCTCTGAATCAAATCAACAAGCATTCTAATCATCTGTGGAATCATCACATTTCTCAAGAATTATTTTCTATACCTTCTTTTCCCAGATATATCAATCTACAATGTCAAAACTTTCATAACAATTCCACCCAAAAGTATGCCTCCAGAAAACCATTTGAAACAACTTGCCCCGACGACTATCTTACCAAAAATTGCAATTTCAACTTACAATAAATTGAATTCAACATCGATTGATTCATCATTGTTTGGAAATTTCTCATTGGCTGGAAATATTATCCAAATGTCTCAAATTCAGTCAAATCATACGAGGGGGCACAACTACACACCAAATTAGGGGATTTATCAACCAAACACAAGGAACGTAGGGCGTAAAAAGATCAAAACTAATAGGAAACAAACCTGTTTTCGCAAGGAGTCCCAAGAGGTTTTCGAATCCATGAGAAATGACAGAAGGGAGGAAACAGGGTTCCTCCCAATTCAATAGAAATGTTGACTAGAGAAAGAAATTGTTTGGAAAACTGATTGAGCCATGGAGGCACGCTTGAAGATGAAGCAAATTTCGCCACTTTTATTTCCTTAAATGGAGTGAATCGCAGGAAATCCTTCGAATTGGCGACGAACATGGGTACCGAAGAGCAGAGGGATTTTCCAAATGGCACAATGGTGTATAAAAGCTAGAGTAAATTATAAACAATACTCCCTGAGGCTTGTTGAGAATTTGTTTTTGGTCCCTAATGTTTGGGTCATTAGTTGTTGCCATTAAGGGAGGGCCATCTGGGTTTTTTTCTCTCTTTTTATTAAAAAAAATAGTACACAAATACTTAAAATATATTAGAAGGGTATTCGTGCAATATATTGAAATATATTTCTATTTTAATGTTTCGTTTTATTTTTTATCCATGTCGATATAATATGATTTTATATGATTTTGAAAAAATGATAATGTTTCTATTTTTGAATAAAATATAAATTTGAAAATATCATATAAAATTTGCAAAAAATATATCAATATTAATATCAAATTAACTATTTAAAAGTTTTTGTTTGTGTATTTTTTTAATTAAATTTTTTTATTATAATTTAAATGTAACGAAGTAACTTAATTTTAGGTTTAAACTCAAATTAACTATTTAAAAGTTTTTGCATTTGAGTATAAAGTTGACAATGGTCGTTTGGTATCAATGTTTTGGGCCAACGAGTTGACAAGGTTGAACTACGCAGAGTTTGGTTATGTTATGTCATTTGATGCGACATATCGTTTCAACAAGTACGTTAATTTAATGTTATCGTAATTTGGATTTATTAATTTCTATGGTTTCGGCTTATATTTTATTTTTTGTCATCGTAGGTATAACATGGTTTGTGTACCATTCACCGGTATTGATAACCATAAGAGATCAGTTGTTTTTGGGTCATGATTGATCACTGAAAAAACTATCCAAGCATATACCTGGTTGTTGGAGTCATTCTTGAAGGTTCATGGTTGTCAACCGACCCTTGTTTTGACTGATCAAGATGCTTCCATTAAGGAARCAATCCCTGTTGTGTTTCCTGATGCTAGACATCGCCTATGTATGTGGCATATCATGAAGAAGCTACATGCCAAGGTATTGAATGTTTTATCACATGTGATTGAAAGTAGTATTATATTTAGTGTTATCGGTGATAATCATGTGATACAAATGTGATTGCAGTAGTGTATCATATGTGATTTGCAAATTTGATTTACTTATAGCGATGTTATGATGCAGGTAGGTTCTGATATCATTTTGAATACAAACTTCAGAAAATGGTTATTGAAATTAGTATGGAGTGTACATCTTGAACCTGAAGAATTTGAGGTTAAATGGGCGTCTTTGTTGAATGAGTTTGACCTTAATAATCACCCATCGCTTGATGACGTATTTGAAATGCGAACCAGTTGGATTTCTTCCTACTTTAGGGAGATACCTTTATGTTGTTTAATGAAAACCACCTCCAGATCTGAGAGCACCAACTCGTTTTTTCGAAAATTTGGTAAGCATTCTAATATTTTGTTAGARTTCATTTTGTCTCATGATATTGCGATAGACAAACAGAGGAATAGGCAGCGCAATGAAGATCATAAGACGGATACCACCACACCGACCTTCAAGACAAATACGTTGATCGAGTATCATSCGGCAAAAGTGTATACTCRTGCTATTTTCTTCAAGGTCCAAAAGGAKATCTTCAAGGGTTATAGATGTTGTTCCCAATGGCAAGTTAATTCTGAAATGGGTTTCACAGTTTATACAATAAGGGAGAGGAAAAAACATTGTTCCACTAAGCTTGAGTTTAAGGTACGTTATCAGTATTATTAATTATTTGTTTAACKTTATCACATGTGATATGCTAGTTTATTGATAAATATCACATGTGTTATTTTAGTGTATTGTTATAATCTTGTATCACTAATTATGTTGTATGTTAGGTTGCTCAATCGCATTCAGATGACTCAATATATTGTGATTGCCGCCATTTTGAGTACTACGGAACCTTATGTCGGCATGTGTTCACTGTCTTGTTCAACCTTGATTTCGATGAAATTCCGCAACAATATATTCTTAAGCGTTGGATGAGGGGGGTTATTCATGTTGATGTGTTGCGTAGTCGACATATATCAATTGGAAGCGATAGTGTGGACAAATTATCCAATGACGTGTATCTTGAGGTTGGTCAATGTTTAATGAATTTTAAAGGTGACGAGGATAAGATAACTGCCTTTCTTGACAATATCCGTTCGTGGAAGTCAAATATGCTAATCAGTGTATCTGAGAAACTTAATTTTACCAACAAAGATGATGTGATTCAGTCATTGGTAGGTGTTCCTCAGCCGGAGAAAATTGATATTCTTCCTCCTCAAGGCATTCGTAACAAAGGTTGTGGCACTAGTAAGCGTTTGATTGGGGCGGGATAGAGAGCCATAACAAAAAGCAAACGGCCGAAAAGACTATGTTGAGGATGCAAGGAGTTTGTCAATCATGATATAAGAAACTGCTCTGTGAGGAAAGCCTCTTCCAATTAACGTTTTTCCATCTCTTAATGAATTATGTTTTTTTTTAATGAATTTGACAATATTGGATCATATTATTTTATTTAGTTCTTTCGAATGTGGATGTGAATGATGGTTTGTTTAAAATGATGATCAATCACTGTTACACGGTGTTTTTTTTTAATATAATGCTTTTATATCAAACTTTGGTGGTACTTCAATTTTAGGGTATCACATGTGATAACCTTGTGTATCACGTTTCATATATGCTGCAATCTGTTTTTTTTTGTTATATGACACATTGTATCTAATAATAAAACACTTTTGTACTTGATAATTATATATRTTTTCGGGTTTTTGGAATCTGCTCAATTTATGGATCTTATGTACGTGATATATTCGTTTATGTCATGTGATATTTTTGAACGTATCACAGTTAAATCGTAAATTATGTTATTGTTGTGTGATTAGAAAAATAACCCTGTGCTGTAATTTATAGCAAATATTGTTGGTCGACACAAGTGATAAGCGTTTTGTATAAGATCACACCATGATTATGCTTACGGAAATATCCTTTGTCATAGAAACATAATTTCCAAAACATATGCAAATTCAACCCAATTGTTTTCATTACAGTCTGTCATTTGTTCTACTAGTGATGAAATTAAGAAATTGCTAAACTGCAAATGAAACGAACAAACATCCAACTTCCTATATCTTTCTACCTATTTAATATGATACAAAACGCATCTCCCTTTTATTGAATGCAGATGTGAGGATTGATTCTTTCAGATTATCATTCAGTTCATCAAATTCAAGTGCCTGTTTGTAAAGTGCATCCTTTAAAATGTTGTCATTTGAAAGCAGGATCTYTGTAAGGTATTTTCGCCTYRAACGTCGTAGTTGTTGTTCTTGTCCACATCCCTCTTGAAAGAAACCACAATCCCAACGGTTTATCACTTGTCCCATATAATGCTCCATGTGCCGCATTACGAAGATTCCACAGTCAACACCATTTCGTACCGTACTCCACTTCAGGTTGCAGACCTTGGCGGTGACATTAGCCATGATTTTTTCTTTGGGGTGCCTCACTGATTTCATGTAGTCATTAAGAGCCTTGTGCTACATTTCAAATTTGCATTATGATTAGTCATTTAGTAATTGCATATATAAATATTTTTAGTTTATCACATGTGATAAAGTTCGTAAACTCTTACCAATTGTGGTGGCAGATCCCCATACTTGCTTCCAATGTCAACCTCTGTTTTTGTGTTATCGATTATTAAGAAGCCCAGATTTTTCAAGTTGAACACAATTAGGTAGAAGTGACTTTGCCTTCGAATCGGGAAAAAAATCTGCAAATGAATGCCATTAGTATATTTCAAGCATTTATGTCGCACCTTGTTTAATATTTGTGTAGTTAGTATAATTATAAAGAAAATATACCATATCTACATTCCTTAAGGTTGCTAGCTCCTTATCGTTTTTCATTGCGGCCTCCAAGTTGGTTTCAAACATAGTATACATGCTTCCGTAGCTCAATTTTAGCATGTCGTCCGTCTTTTTTGTTAAGTGATAATGTTATATCAGTGACTCTAACAAATAAATTTATATTAACTGATAAAATATTAATATCACATACCATTGTTGTGATGTCACAAAATAACCTTCGTGGGGAAGACTTGCTTCTGTATTGTTCGTTCTTGTTTAACATTGTTGCCCATATGTCGATCACACCCCCGTATATGAAAGTATCATCAACCATGCTTTCGAAAATATGACGTGGTGCATACTGACCCTCCGCTGTTAAGTATACCGGGCCCCTGTGAGGTAATATATTATTAGATTACTAGATTTCCATATGAACATAAATCTCAATAGAGTTAATAAATTATAAACTGTGACCAACTGTGATAAATGTGATAATGGTGTGATAAATGTGTTAATGGTGTGACAATTTTGTTACCGGGGTGATAAATGTGATAATGATGTGATAAATGTGATAATGGTGTGATAGATGTGTTAATGGTGTGATAATTGTGTTACCCGGGTGTATTGTACTTTTTAAATTGAAAAGTTTGATGTTTTATCACATGTGATAAACCGGATGTGTATATGTATGTGGATACTGTTTGGTTCGTTTTCCATTAAATTAAATTATGTATGTGGATACTGTTTGGTTCGTTTTCCATTAAATTAAATTATGTAAATGATGCAGCAACAACTGCTTTTGACACCAAAAATCTTGATGCCATCGACTTACCAGTGATCACATGAGCTGTGATAATGGTGTGATAGATGTGTTAATAGTGTGATAATTGTGTTACCGGGGTGTATTGTACTTTTTAAATTGAAAAGTTTGATGTTTTATCACGTGATAAACCGGATGTGTATATGTATGTGGATACTGTTTGGTTCGTTTTCCATTAAATTAAATTATGTAATTGATGCAACAACAACTGCTTTTGACACCCAAAATCTTGATGGCATCAACTTACCAGTGATCACAAGAGCTGTGATAATGGTGTGATAAATGTGTTACCAGGGTGATAAATGTGATTGATATATATAATTTGATCAAAAAGCAAGTGGATTGCTAGCAAATCTCAACTCAAACTACTTATGCATCTCTTAAAGTGGTGTTTAGGTAGTGATGAAGTGTTAGTTCATATGATAGGAAAATGCAAATGCAAATGCAAATGCAGAATTTTGCAATAAACTTTGCTACCTATATGTTGAAGTATGTTACTCCTTTATACTAAAGTTATTGTGTTTATCTAATAATCAAATGTGATCCAGTTAATCATGTGATAAATATATGCATATGTTAGTGTCAAGTAGTTGGATGAACTTACATCTGAGCGCCTTCCATAGCGAATATTAGGTTAGAAAGGATTAACTCGACTTTTGTGTTAGGCCGGTGTGCGTCCACTTGTCTATTCATATACGGTGAATATATTTTTCCTCCTACCTTTGAAGCTCTTGGACCACTGGGACCAGTGTATATCTCACTTATTGGTTTCACATTAGGAACCACATCATTGTCCTCTTTGTTAGGAGCAGTTTCCTTCGGCTCAGCAACTTCTTCGAACTCTTGGGTGAGACCTAAACTAAAATCCGGCATCTGTAACTTCTCATATATTTTAATTGTTTTGTCTACCCCCTTAATTGTTTCTGGATTTGAGAAAAATTGTGTTGGTGTCTCAACAATCTCTTGTGCGCCCCCCGTAACACCTTGCCATGGATCACTAGTTGATGCTTGTTTTGTTCCACAATTTTTAGCAAGTGACATGTTCATTGACGTATCAACGTTCATTTTGTCAATTACTACCAAATCTATCAACTTTTTTTCCCAAACATCAAACTCCACAGAGGTGGGGTATATAGTCCTTCCTTTTTTTAGAATCATATCGAAATCGCTCTTCATTGTCTTGAACATATTGAAAGTGTGTTCGACCTCATCCAAGTATATCTGCACAAACCGACAAACAAATGACATATGAATGTATTTTGAAAGTAGTTATTTAATTTCTTATTTTATGAAAATCATTTGTTAACTATGGTGATTATATGTGTTAAGTAAACTATGATAATCATGTGATAAATAAGCAATGTGGTCATTTTTTACATTATACATTAWTWAAYTTTGTCGTAACTAGGTTGTGATATGCAAGAAATCTAAAATTCATTTGCATTAACGTAACTAGATTTGTGATAAGTCACATGATTTGTAAGTTGTGATAATGATGTGATTACTATATGCATAATTTTGTGATAAGCAAGACATATTAACCGGTGCAAAATATTGATTTAACTGTAATTTAAAACAATACAAATAAGTGATTTTAACAGTGATATCACAGAAAATCACTAATTTAACAGCCATATCGCATGCTTATCACACCCATATTGCATGATGTATGTAAATACATAAGCTATGTAATCATGTGATGAATAAGATATATCAATTCGTTCAGAATATTGTTTTCACTAAAATATAAAACAATGCAAATTAGTGCGTTATCATCTTTACCTTAATGTCAATTTCTTCGTTCTCTCTTGGTCTATCTTCATGTTGTTCATCAACCAATGTTTCTGCTACATTGCCAATCCCGAAACCACCGGTAGAAAGTTCTATTGATTCCCGTCTTCTTAGAAGGTCCATTGACCAACTTGCAATGCATGGTCTTTTGCGTATCATGTGCATAAGATCACACCGAATGGTGTCGACGTACAGAAGCTTCATTTAAAAGTGCAAGAAGTAAAATTCCCGTCCCAATTTATATTTCGTGATTATTCATTCACAATAAATAACCAATGATAATAAGTACCAATATATGTGTATATATATATATATTAAAATGTGATATGTAAAAATACCGTCAATGTAGTTAACGGGCCACTGTAGTAACACTCTATTGGGTCTGGCTTCCATGTGCTTTTGTTCATCTTTAAACATTTGAAGACATAATCGCACCAATCAATTTTTTCGAAGCAAGTTTGTTGCGATAGATATGCAAGAACACTGAGGTCACAAATGCCATTCGATTTGCATTGACCCATTACATTGCAAAAGACCATTATGAAGTCCAGTTTGAAATTCCAATCACCATTATCTGAGGTGATAATTTCGCTTACTATGTCTGTGACACGTAAAGACGGCTTYRAATATMTACTTTTYYATTGYTCTACTAYAYTTACTYCGCAGTTGTCATTAACTAAACTATCCAATGGAGCTCCCCCAATTGGTGCACCAATCATCTCATGTATTTTTTTAACTGTGATTGGGATCACACCGTTTTCGAGTTTAATCAGCATGTTTTGAGAGTCAAAAGAATCAACTACATAATAGCCAAGCTTTGCAGGTATACCGTCTGTCTTCATGTTCAACATGCCTTCAAACCCCATTTCTTTTACACACTTTA